AGAAGAAGGCTGGGTTGGTTGAGATGAAACTTGGTTTGGGTTTGCCAAGCCACAACTTTGGAGGCTTGGAACTTTTCCAACTCAACCAAGAAAATGTTGAAGATTGGATTTCCAACCAATCACAAACTGCCAAACAATTGTTACAATCTACTCTATCCTAAACACAACCATTCAATGGTCCTAAGTCGGGTTTTTTCAACCCAACTAATTGCCACATAGGCTCCAAGCTTAGGAACCATCCCACCATGGAAACCATGGTTGGGAGAGTTCCCAAAGAAGTGTATTGAGGGGGTTTGAGTTTCCAATCTCATCCAACTAATCAATCAGAAATGGGATTGTTTTGCCTAAGTCATTGAGAGCTCTCTCACACAACAACTCTCTACACAACTTCTTCAAGTGCTTCCCATCAAAGGCTTCAACAAGACTCTCATCTCCAAGGCTATAAAGAGGGGTTAGCTAGAGCTACCATCTTGTACCGGGATTCTTATAAAAGCCTTGTAATCTCTACTATAATTGCCTCGGGTGTTACAGCTGATGGCGCATTGCTAGTGAGCTGCACGCTGGCGGCAGCTCCTGGTGTGCGTGCTAAATTGTTGCTGCGCGCGCTGGCACGCTATGACCTGGCGTGCACTGGCGGGCTGCCCGCTGGCGTGCGCACCGGTGACAATTGTTGGTGCACTGCGTTGCTGCTAGCGCGCTCGCCACGCACTGCTGGTGAAATGTGTGGTGGTTGGCCGCTAGCGCGCTCACCACGGGCCGTTGACGCGCGACAAGCGGTTTACGGGCAGAGCGCGACGGAAGGATAGACTGAGGCGAACGACAAGGAGGAACGAAGCAGAACAAAACGAAGGTCCCGAACAAAAGATGAGTGACGAGCACCCTTGGGACAATGAATGGTCCAAGGGGAGTATACAACAGGTTGGGATGGGCGTGATCGAGGAGAAGGAGCCGGAGACGAGTCTAGAGGAGGAGGCCTCGAACCGTAAGCAGGAGGAGACTGCTTGGAAGTGTGTAACGAGCAAGCGTGAATGCGTAAGTTGACGGTTAGCAAACCATAGGGGAGATTGTTGAAGTGGTTAGCAAATTACAGGGTCCTCGCTATCAGACATTTTTGTCTGTTTGTCTGAGATTTCAGACAGTTTTTCTTGGCTTCATCTGATCGTCCAGTCAGGATCATACAAAAACTTTTTTTTGCACGGGGGGCCCGTCTGATGCATCAGACATCCCTCAGACCCTAGGGAGAGCCCTGGCAAACCATGACCTGCCATGACCTAAAAAGAACCTATCTAGGGGAGTTTTGACCAAGGGAAAGCAAGGACCTCAGAGGAAATGAATCTACCTATGCTGGGACGGTGGAAAGGGAAACTCGATAAAGCTTGTTCTATAGTGGGATGGGAATCAAAGGAAAGTGGAGGAAGTGTGAAGAAAAACAGAAGTACGTGGCAGAAATATGGAGATTTGGAATGTCAAGTGTGTGCTCAAACTCCTAGCACGTTCGGTGTGAATATGGCTGTAATTAGAAATTGAGATGCGTACAACTCTACTTGAAATTGTGTGCGACATGAGGGCAAAATCAGAATTTGAGTCGCCTATATATCGTCTTGCAATTTTCAGTTTTGTATCCCTTCAATGAAATCGCTTGGAAACTTCTCCTGACATTGCCCAGCATATTTCTTTTCAAAGTTGAGGTCAAGGCTTCCTTCCTAGGCTTACGTCAAATAGTCCGGAACTACGCACATACACGAGATGAGGATGGGGTGGAAGAAGGGGAAAGGGGAAAGAAAGATAGGTGGAACATGTTATTTGAAAACAAGAGAGCGATAGAGGTTGGAACATGCACGATAGAGGCTTGACAGCAGGGGTTGCAAATATGAGAATTTTGATATTAAGGATTTGAGGTGAAACATGCTTCTCAAGAACGTGCAAGATAATAACTCAACCATGACAAGGCAAACATGTATAACAACTTTCCACCCTCTAGGCGTAATGAGTGCAACTCACCAAAGCAAAATAGATTGCCTGGAGGCATCTACCGGTAGAAGCGACTTTTAGGCCCTGTTTGCTAGGGCCACCCTAATCAATGGCATTGGGGTGGACACGGAAAATCGAACCCAGCAACGAACCATCCGCACAAGTTGGGACGGGATCGTCCAGGTCGTAATTTCTTGCTAGCCACCTCTCCCTGGTCTAGGGAATTTTTTTGTACATTGCAAAATATTGGGATACCACGGGCAATTAAATCGCAAAAAGGGTTAATTGGGCTTGTCGTGAGTACTAGTTGGATGGATTTTTTGGACGTGCAACTATTTTCCTGGACAGCTATACACGCCTTCAGGGTAAACGAACTAGCTAATGGTCCTTATGAGAAGCACAAGCAGATGACCCTCATCCGGAATCCCGCTGCCATCCCTTGGAAATTCCCTGTGAAGAATGACAACGGACATTCTTCTAGCGGGATTTTTTTTTTTTGCCAGGAGGCTTCGTTTTTCCGTAATTTCCCCCAAAACATGCTCCAAAACGAGTGTGTTCGACATGCCCCAGACTCAGTTTGGTTCAGACGGAATCGTCAAGGCTTAGTAATTTTTTGGGGGGTTGACTGGCCTAGAACCCCTGCAAACGGAATCAGGAAGGTGATGCCCACAATCCTAATTCCACCAGAAATGTCGTACAGAACAGGGCCTTAGGGCACTTCAAGGGTCAACACCAGTGGGACTAAATTTTGAGTTACCTGAACAGTCTCATTGTTAAGATTACCGCAATAACTCACCACTGCAACGACCATCCTTGTAGCCGAATTCACAGATGCAACTTGGATCGCCATTCTTATTCGGCTTGCATATCGCGAAGATTTCGCACCTCACCGCAGCACAGGTGTCTGCATGCAATGGGACGCAGGCAAATGGAAACATAGCATCACATGCACACACTTTAGTAACTCGTGCAAAGAGAGTTGACGGGAGGCCAAGCTCTAAGGAAATGGTTTGAAACACAAACAAGTCATGCACATGGTGTTTGGTCTCCTCCAACTCACCAATGCAAGAGAGCCCGTCAGAAGACGGCTTGCCCCAGGAGCAACTGCAAGATGGCTTTCCGTTCACATCCTTCATGCACTCGCCATCAGAGCCACAGTTCACCTCGTTACACAAGTCTGTAAAAATAATGGAACCAAAAGAGTGGATGAATATCATCACATAAGAAGAATGGAATATTGGGATATTGACCATCAATGACCACAGAGTTGAATATGCACGCACTAAGTAACTTGTGCAAAGGGATTTGACGGGAGCCCAAGTTTTGAGAGTTCGGTTTGAAACGTAAGCAAGGCAGTGTGGCTCTACTCAGCTCACCAATGCAAGAGAGACCATCGGAGGATAGCTTAAAGCCCAATTTGCAACTACAGGATGGCTTTCCGCTCGCATCCTTCGTACAGTTGCCGCCAGGGCCACAATTCACCGAATCACACAAGTCTTCAAGGAAAAGGGAACCAAGAGAGTGGAAGGAATTTAACACGTCAGGAGATTCAAATATTGAGATATTGACAATCAAGGGTCACAGAGTTGGATATGCATGCACATCAATAGCTTGTACAAACAGGGTTGAAGGAAAGCCAAGGATTTGGTTTAGAACACAAGCAAGACATGCCTTCTCCATTGCCCTCCTTCAACTCACCAATGCAAGAGAGCCCGTCAGAAGACGGCTTAAAGCCCGAGTTGCAGCTACAGGATGGCTTTCCGTTCGCATCCCTCGTGCAGTTGCCGCCAGGGCCACAATTCACCGCATCACACAAATCTGCAAGGTAGAGGGAAGCAGGAGATTGGAAGGAAATCATCACGTCAAGAGATTCAAATATTATGATATTGACAGTTGAATATGCATGCACTTTAGTAGCATGTACAAAGAGGGTTTAAGGGAGGCCAAGTTTTAAGGATTCTGTTTGAACACAAGTTCGAAACACAAGCAAGGCATGCCACTCTGTTGCTCTCCTCCAACTCACCAATGCAAGAGAGCCCGTCAGAAGACGACTTAAAGCCCGAATTGCAACTACAGGATGGTTTTCCGTTTGCATCCTTCACACAGTTGCCGCCAGGGCCACATTTCACCGCGTCACACAAGTCTGCAAGGAGAAGGGAACCAGGAGAGTGGAATGAAGTTATCACAAGATTAGAGATTCGGGTTTGGACCTTAGCAATCAAGGGTCACTGGGTTGAGTATGCACGCAAGCAGTAACTCTTACAATGATGTTGAGGGTAGGCAAACTTTCAAGGACCCGGTTTGAAACAATAAAAACTGTGTTTGAAACACAACGCATGCGAACTGAGCTGCATTCCCCCAGCTCACCAATGCAAGAGAGCGCGTCAAAAGTTGGCTTAAAGCCCGTGTTGCAACTGCAGGATGGCATTCCGTTCGCATCCCTCGTACAGTTGCCACCAAGGCCACACTTCACCGCATCACAGTTGTCTGCGGAAAACGGGACACAGGCGAGTGGAACGAAATCATCACACCAAGAGACTAGAATATTGGGATATTGAGAAACAAGTATCACCAAGTTGAATATGCATGCTATTCAGTAACTCTTGCAAAGGGAGTTGAGAGGAGGCCAAGTTTCAAGGGTTGGGATTGAAACGGCAGGCGCGATCTTTGTGTTGCACTTTCTCTACTCACCAATGCAAGAGAGTGCGTCAGAAGACGGCTTAAAGCCCGTGTTGCAACTGCAAGATGGCTTTCCGTTCGCATCCCTCGTGCAGTTGCCACCAGGCCCACAATTCACTGCAGCACAGTTGTCTGCAGAAAACAAGACCCAGACAGGTGGAAAGAAATTATTACTTCATAAACTAGAATATGAGGCATTGACAAATCAAGGGTCACAAAATTGAAGATGCCCACAATTCAGTAACTCTTGCAAAGAGAGTCGAGTGGAGGTGAAGTTTCAAGGGCTGGGATCGAAACGACAAGTGAGTCGAGTGGAGGTGAAGTCTCTGGGTTGCACTTCTTCAACTCACCAATGCAAGAGAGCGCATCAGAAGATGGCTCAAAGCCCGTGTTGCAGCTACAGAATGGCTTTCCGTTCGCATCCTTCGTGCAACTGCCGCCCGGCCCACATCTCACTGCATCACACAAATCTGCCAGAAAAAAAAAAAAAGAGTTGAGTAGAGGCCAGGCTTCAAGGACTAGATTGAAACGCATCCTTCGTGCAGTTTCTGCCATGCGTGACCACCGCATCACACGACTCGGCATAGAAAAGGATATGGAAAAAGGGATACGGCGATGAGCTTTGACAACCATGGGGTGTACCACAAATGGATAAGGTAGTGATGCAACTTTAGTGCCAAATCATGGGTCGGGTTGGATCGGATGACAGAGAATAAGTGCAATCGGCAGTGCAACTCTCACTCTCCTGTAACAACCCTGTAATAATTGCTATCAGGATTCTTTCCCACCAAAAACCAAATAGCCACAATGCCACAATGTAGCAGCACACCTAGGCAAGTGCTATTGGCGGTAGCTAAGCGTGGTTGCATGCGCAGGTGAGTGAAGAGAGCAGGAGAGACAAAACGGTATCGCTAGCAGCATACCTTGGCAAGTGCCATTAACGGCGGCAAAGCCCGGGTTGCATGCACAGGTGACGGCCTTGCTGTCAGTCGTTGGCATGCACGTGGAGTTGGCTGGACACGTGGCGTGCTGGCAGGTGATTTCTGCGATGAGAGGGGGTCCAGCATGGGAAAAGAGAGTCATGGGTAGCACAGAGACACGTGACGTGCTGGCAGGTGATTTCTGCGATGAGAGGGGAGCCAGCACGGGATAAGAGAGTCATTGGTAGCACAGAGACACGTGACGCCCTTGCTGTCAGTCGTTGGCATGCACGCGACGTGCTGGCAGGTGATTTCTGCGCATGGTGGTGCATCAGAGAGATGTGTGTAGCAGGGAGTGGCAGCATGGGGTGTGAGAGGCACGGAGTGGCAGCCTGAGGTCCGGTGTGGCTGGTGAAATGAAACCATCATGCAGAGACGCTCTCTCCCATGGCAGGGAGGCAATGAGGGAAGGAGGGAAGGAGTGGTAAGGAGCCAGGGCAGCAAGGAGTTAGGAGGGAAGGCGGTAAGGAGAGAAGGCGGCAAGGAGGGAAGGTGAGGAGGCGAGGAGGAAAGGAGGCAAGGAAGCAAGGAGGCGAGGAAGCAAGGAGGCGAGGAAGCAAGGAACCAAGGAGGCGAGGCACGCACCACACTTGCAGGAAACGGAAGTCCATCGGGCAACCTTCTTTGAGCTGCAAGCGAACAAGGATGGCAGGAACACATTCAGGTCAAAAATCGGGAACACATTTGGATGAGACGTTACTTACGTAGGCACAACCGAGGCAAAACAGTGGGTTACGACTGCGGGGGTTACGACAATGGGTTACAACAGTGGGTCATAGCTGTGGGTTACAAACAATGGGTTACAACAGTGGGGCACAGCTGTAGGTTACAACAGGGACTCACAACTGTGGCATTGGTAGAGGGCACTCACTCACCCGCCCCCATCACGCACCTGCCCTACACCCACCCATGAGCCACCTGGCCTGCACCCATCCCCCACCCACCTGGGAATGTGGAAGAATCTGCGCAGATTGGCGTATTGCGGCTGCAGCACCTCATCCAGCGCCTTGCCCTTGCAGGCCGGGTTGGCGAAAAACTTGAGTTGCTTGCATGCCGCACCCCCACCCTTGCCATACGAACCGCCGCCGCCCGTGCCACCACCGCTGCCGCCCCTGCCGCCGCCCGTGCTGCCGCCCGTGAGCCCGTGCCACCACACCTGCACGTCTCCAGCCGCCTTGCGCGCCGCCCGGGGAAGGCTGAAGCAGCGGAGGGCGTCGAAGCTGACGGGGACGCTCACGCCCGGCACCGCGATCACCGTTGCCACGTGGACCCGAGCCTCCACCGCCCCGCCTGTGCTGCTGCCATCCCCCACGCCCACGCCCACGCCCACGCCCACGCCCACGCCCACGCCCACGCCCACGCCCACGCCCACGCCCACGCCCACGCCCACGCCCGCCTGCATGCTCTGATTCCCGCTTCCTGCACTGGTCTCCCCTCGTGCCGCATGAGTGGTGGCGACCGCTGGAGAGAGGAGTTAGAGGGGTGAGAGGGAGCAGAGGGGTGAGAAGGAGGAGAGGGGTGAGAGGGAGCAGAGGGGTGAGAAGGAGGAGAGGGGTGAGAGGGAGCAGAGGGGTGAGAGGGAGCAGATGGGTGAGAGGGAGCAGATGGGTGAGAGGGAGGAGAGGGGTGAGAGGGAGCAGATTGGTGAGAGGGGTACCTAGCAGATGTAGTCACGCCTGTGGGTGCTTATGCAGAGGGTCAAAAGGCATCCGCTGCGCCTGTAATGAGCCCCCCTGTTTCGAACCAGTGGCCTGGAGGGGAGTTATACTCGAATGTGCGAAAAAAATAGTTAAGTCTCTCATTGTCGTTCCCAAGGGAACTTGCGAAAGAAAAGGTATCAAATGGAGACACTCTTGGGAACGGCACTGAGAGAAAACGACTCACCGCAGATGATGGCGAGGACGAGGCGCGGAAGCAGCGCGGCAGAAGAAGCGGCCATGGCGGTCAACCTCCCACGTCAGGTGAGGTCAAGCTGCCACGTCAGGTGGGGAGATTCTTGTGCAGCGCGCCGCTGCCTCCTGGAGTACAGCAGGAAAGATGGCTCTGAATTGAATTGGTCACACTGATGGTACAAGGCGTTGCAATGGTGCAGCTCAATGCTACTCGTACAGCTGATACATACGGGTACTATAGCTGGAGGTAGAGAATAATTGGAGGTATAGCTACTGGAGTTGCTAGAGATATCATACGGCGGAGGAGACGCTCCCATGGCTGCTCTGGCGGGTGGTTTATGGGATCGTCCAGGCTCTCGCCCGTCGCCCGAGGCTGAATGTACAGTTCGAGGCGCTGATAGGAACGCGATCTGGTAGCATCTAATTAGAGTTGCGTTTGGGAGTTATGCGAGTCGAAAAGCGAGTGGCACGCGCATGCCAGAAGCATGGCGACCAGCTCAGGCAGTCGCCTGGTAGTGTCGCTCGGGCTGGTGAACGACGCTGGGAGCTTGAGCGAAGCAACTGGATTGGAGCTCACAGGTGCAAAAACGAATTATTGAAACATGATGCACAGTCTGCGATCTTGCCGCATGTTCAGGGGAGGGAAGGATGAAGTGAATTATTAGCAATCGCACGGCTCACGTTTGCTCAACTCGCAGAGGAGTGAATTATGCAATTGCAGCAGCGGGGGAGGGGAGGGGGGGGGGACGCGCAAACGTGGTGTGCGACGGACGAACTCTCGATTTTGAACACCCAAAAAAATCGTTAATAGAAGAATCAGTAAGACGCTAATAGCCCTATGGAGAAGTCTGGGTAAGTAGGGAATTGACAATCACAATATATTCTACAGGAACCAAGTTCTACAAAGATTTTAGTCTCAAAACCGGAAGTCAAGCTTCTTGTTAATACATTTAGCCCATGCTGTAATACCTGAAAATATAATTTATTGCCAGCTGTGTTTCAAGTTCCAGTCAAATCAATTGGTTGTACGGTCACTGAGGTGGCAGTCCTCCTGGCAGAATTCGGGAAACCAAGAAATATCAAGTTGTGTCTAGCTAGTTTTTCTGCTGCTTCCGCCTCCCAAATGTCAGCAGCCTACAATTAAAAAGCAAGTTATGGAACTTTTCACTTCCATATTCGTTACACTCCTTGGTGAGTTACGCTTCGCTGAGAACGTACGCTTTACTGAAAGCTTGTTATCAATAGAAGTTTCATGTTTAACGTCTTGACCCATGCCCACGTTCGAAGGAGGTTTTTTTGTTTGCGCGTGCCAGTTTTCTCAGTCTTCGATGGTACGGCAAGGGCCAGCGCGTTAGATACTGTGGCGTCACTGGCGCGTGAGAGAAAGTTGCCGAGGGCATTTCTTGCGTGTACAGATTTGTCTTACGTTGTGACGTGGCTCCCCTCTAAACTGGGGAATGAAGCACTCGTCCTAGTCAGGCTATTGGCAGAAGGCGTGGCATGATATCTTGGTTAGGCTCGGTATGAAAGGTGGCGTACGTTTGGGAAAACACTGGGAAGATTGCTCTCGGACCGTGCTTTCAGACCTTTTGTGCCAAATTTAATCGAATCTTGAACAACGTATGAAATTACGAGTGACATTTTTTTTTTTTTTTTTTTTGTAATTGATATATACACCAAGTACAGCAGATGTATACAGCAATAACAGTCGTAACTGTGCGTGAGGGGCAGCTACGTGGCTACCCCAGATTGACAACTATGGTGGTCTGTGATTGTTCCTCGGCAGCTGCCAGATGGCAGCAAACGCACTGTTCCACTTCCACTTCTTGCTGCTACTGTCCCTCAGTTTATCTACCAATCTTATCTCCTCCTCTCTTGCACGCCGAAACGATCCCTTCTTGTCCGTAGCCACCCGCCTCCTTCGTACATCCTCCTTTGCCCGCATGTACACCCTTGCATGTTGCCGGAAAGCCAGCTCAATCCTCCTCAACACCCGTTTCGTCCTGAACCTCCGCCCTCTGAAAGCAGCTTCACAACGCTCCAACCACACCTGGTGGAGTGTGATGGCAATTATTGTCGCTTCTGGAAATGCTGAGCTGGAGCATGGCTTCTTGAAGAGAAGGTCCCCTTGCGACGAAATCGACCTCGAGCTGTTGATCATACGAAGAGCCCGTTTGAGTGCTGTAATCACTGCCTGGATTTTGGGGCAGTCGTAGAGGCAATGTTCCAAAGTCTCCTCTCCCCCACTATGCGGGCATTTCGGTTGTCCACTTAGAAATGACAGTCGTTCCCCCACCTGTAGGTTAAGGTTATGCACCCTTAACAAAACATCCCTTGGCCTGCTTGGAGTAGCCAGGGACTCTCTGACCGAGATTGCCCTTTTCCAATCAATCTTCCCATTCCACCTGCCCGACCACTGTTGCTGCTTCACTGATGCCTTCTGCCCTTTCTTCCACAGCTTTTTCAGCTGCCTCATCGGCACCACCTTCCCCTTCTCAAAGATCGGTAGAAGCGTGAAATCTCTTCCAGGCGGGATGTATCTCCTGCGATGAGAGCCAACCGTGCTAGGGTTTGATTGCTCTCTGTAGGAACCGTCTAGCAGCAGAGTCCGCCATGTCTCAGGAGCCGCTTCGAAGGCCTTCAGTGCCAGCCTAGCTGGTCCTTTCCCCCCCAGCTCCTTCTCCAGTGACTCCATCCCTCTTAGCGTGGGAACTCCTTCCTTGTCGTAGCTGATCAAGTGTCCCAGCCTCATCTCCCACAAAGGTTTCGCGTCCTTCTGTCCTCCAACCGGTGTGGACCCCCTGAGGAGAATACGCTTGTTAAACACTATCCGCTCTCCCTCCGCAGCCTCTCGAGTAACAATCTCCGGCAGCTCCCCCAGCGGCGACTTCATAAAATTTTCGCACGCAATTTTCCACCGAGCACTACGTCCTTCCCATCGCCGCAGTAGTTTATCATGCGCGAAAAAGGACTCAATGCCCATAGGAAGCTCAGCCGCCCACATCATGATCTCTTTCTTGAGCACGTTCTTCTCCGTGATCAGCAGCCCCACCCTCCTTGCCGAGAGACAAGCAAGGATCATCTCCGGGTCACATACTCCAACTCCCCCATCCTCCCTTGACGTGTGTAGGAGATCCTTGCTCCACAACCGGAACACCCTGTCAGCCGTTGCCTTGTTCCCGGATACAAAGTTCTGGAACGTCTTGGAGAGCGCATTCCAGGTTACTGGCGGCGGCGGATATACTTGCGTCTGGAACGCCACCACCGACATAGAGTAGCCGTTCACCACCGCCGCTCTCGCCTTCGTCGGAAGATAAATTTTCTCCCATGTTTTAAGTTTTCCGACCACGCTTGCCCCCGCCTTCTCCCACGTTGGCTGACACCTTCCTGCCGGTGTTACCCAAATCCCCAGCAGTCTCTCTGCCTCATCCGCTCCCGCCCAACGGAAACTCTGTGGTCTGCATGAGTGCCTGTGCAGGTTATCGCCCAGCGGCAGGATGACTGACTTTTCCACATTCGTCTCCAGCCCCGAGGTAAGCTTAAACTTCTCCAGTACCTTCTCCGCCTTAATGATTTGCTCCTTCCCCTCCAGAATCAGTGTGGTGTCGTCAGCATACCCGATATACGAGAGATGCTCGTCCGCCTTGCTGAGCCCCAGCTTTTTCCGCCACACCTCTTGCGCCAACGGTTCTACTGCGCAGAGGAACAGGTATGGAGCAAGCGGGCATCCCTGCCTTACCCCAGATAGTACTTCCACTCCATCTCCGAACCATCCGTTTATTAACAGCCGCGTCTGTGTTCCCTTGTGCAGACCTTCGACCCAGCCAACCAGCCGCTCCGAAAAAACCCATCTCCCTCAAGATTTTGAAGGTATAGTCTCTCGACACCAAATCATATGCCTTCTTGAAGTCAACGAGTAACAGAAACCAGTCCTTATTCTTGTTCCGAGCCGCATCAATCACATCGGCGATCAATCCCACTGCGTCCGTGAGTCTTCTCCCCGGCAGGAATCCGTACTGCTCCTCTGAAATCACCTTTCCCATCACCTTCTTCATTCTGTCAGCAATCACCCTCGCCAGCACTTTGTAACTGAAGTTTAGAAGAGTTATCGGTCTATAATTATTCAACTGATCCTTGTCCCCCTTCTTGTGCAGGAGTATCGTAACGGCTTCTTTGACATCGGTGGAGAGTGAAGCAGAAGCCGCGAAGTCCTTCGCCATTGCCATAAATCCTTTGCCCAGCAGGTCCCAGTGCGCTTCAAATAGTTCTTTCGGCAACCCATCCTTTCCAGGTGATTTGTTAGCCGCCATCGCTCCAAAGGCTGCCTTCACCTCTTCTTCTGTCCAGTCAGCTGCCAGCTCCTCTGCGTCCCACTTCTCCAGCTTTTTCCCTTTTATCGGCTTCCAGTTCTCCTTAAGACGGCATCTGTCTTCTCCGAAAATACCCGCGAAGAAAGCCGATGCTGCCTCCAAGATCCCTTTAGAGTCCGAGACTGCGCCGCTCGCTATCTGTAACTCCGCGATTTGCGTGCTTTCCTTCCTCGCCTTTACCATTGCTGACAGATGCGGGGACGGCATTTCACCGGTGAGCTCCACCCGTAGTCCCGTCATCAGCTGCACCCGGTCCTTCTTAGCCGCATGGTACTCTTTAAGCTGCACCTCTTTTTCTGCTAGCAGCATCATCGTACGTGAGCAGGCCGGATTTCTCATTGATTCTTGCCGAAGCTCCGCCACCATATCGACCAGATGTGAGACCGTGGCTTTAACTCTTTTCCCCTCCTCCTTCATGTACGCGCGTAGCCCAACACCAAGCCGGGTGAGTAGTAACTCAAAACTGCTGCCATCTGACACCGTCACCTTCTCCACCGTCGCCTCTACGATTCTCCTGACTCCCCTTCTTCGAACCATTGACGCGTGCAGTCTCCACATCCCTGGACCAATTCGGATCTGATCATCCGTCCTCAGCGCCACCCTCACCGCAAAACAGTGGTCAGATATGTACTCTTCTGGCATGATGTGTGAGGCTTGGGTTAAGTGAGGTAAGAGAG